TACTGAATTTAAAATATCCTGTCGTGTGCCTGAAAGCAAGCAAGAGTTGATGAAGAGGGTACAGACGTTCAAGAGGAGAAAAGTACTTATTCCAGTCATGGTTTTAAAAAAACAAAAAAAGTCATGATTACTTATATTCCCAAGTTTTTGTTGTTATTGCAATTCTGATTGGAATTTTCTCCCCTAAATCTTGTCATCTTAACTTGTTTGAGACCCAAAGTTTTAGAATATTGATAGTATGGTTTACTTCTTAAATTTGAAACACTTTCTAATCTGATCACTGATATTGCTGTGTTTTATTTTGCTTTCTGAACCTCTAGAAAATAGAAGAAGAAAGTAATTAGGGATTTGTGGGCTTTAGTCAAAGAGTTGTTTATTATTCTTTGCAAAAACTTGATAAAAAGAAACAGAAAATAGTGGGAAAGAGCTGTGCTGCCCACCCCAGGGCACACAGTTTGAATCTATCGACTTCTCTGCAGGAGAAAGATGGGCAGTCTCCTCCCCTGTGATTTACAAGTACTGAAAACCCAGTGGAGGATCAACTGTGAGTCAGTTCCAACTCAATGGTACATAACAGCATTTTTCTGATGATAGAAACATCTTACAACCTTTGTTTTAAATTAGTATTAGTAGGAATTATATGTTAAAATTAGAGTTAGTGGTAAAAGAAATATTGCCTTGATTTTAAGGTTCCAACATGAAATCTTTAATTTATGGAAAAGTTAAGTTTAACTCTATTGCATAACGTGCAGAATAATTTTGCAATCATTATGCAACTTGGATCAAATGAATAAGATTTCAGACTAATATAGAGTTGGATGCAACTTTGGGATTCTTATCTGCAATAGAGCCATGAGATTCTATTGACACTGTCTTCCACAGAGGGAATTTATTGGTTGTTTGTGATATTGGGAAAATACATAAATCTTTAGGATTTAAATTTTAGTGTTTACCTTCTGAAGTTATATATATGAGTTAGCACTTTTTTCCTAGTATTTTGTGAGATGTGAATACCAAAAATTATCACTTATAAGATCTATTTTTTTTAGGATAAGATAATTTTGGTTAGACAGAAAGCGATGGATGGTTGTGTTTAACCAAGAATTGATTTGTGAAAAGTCCATTTGTTGTCAGTTTGCAGCTCTTCTGTCTCAATGCTGACCTCCTTCATCTGAGAGGCAGTTTGTGGTTTCCTTCATTCATCAACTACCTATGTACTTACAGATGTCCAGGAAGGTAAAGATAAAATACACTTTCAAAAAAATAACCCTTCACTCAGTACCATAAACAGGAGAGGGCTAAAGTTCTAATGATGATAGTAACCTACTTTCTAGAACTTTAGGTTCAAAGCAAATTACTATGACAAGAATTAGGGGGAAAAAATAGTATACTTTTTTAATAGGATACAGTTCAACAATTTTGGGAGTGCCTATGTGTGGAAGGGAGTGGGACAGTGCAAATGAACCAGACTTTTAGAAAAACACTTGAATATATGTTGTTAAATATACACTTGCCAGAAAATTAAATCCACTGTTGTCAAATGGGTTACTTCCTCTATCTGGTTTCAGTCTTTAGGGGCTGACCTTTTTAGTCAGCAACACAACATGTAAACAGCTACACCACAGGCACTCCCTAAAAACACTCTTAATTTTTAATAAATATCTGGTTTTGCATTTCTTCTGCTTTAAATTTGTATGTAATAATGTCATCAAACTAAATCAAGAAGATTGAATAGATACTTACTGTTAAGCTTTTAAGAAAAACTTTTCTATTAAAGACAGGCAAGTATTAAAGAAGTTAGATTTCTTCCTCCTCCCTTAGGGGATTTAATGAGATTTTAAATCCCATGAGTGAAAAACATAGTTAAATAATTTAGCAGTCAAAAGAAACACGTGAAACTAGTGTTTTTCACATACAGTATTAAATTAGTTTGACTGCAAGGTTTGCCTGTTTTAGTAACAGGTCTTTCTTTGACTCTATCCAAATTTCAGAAGGTTAGAACTAAGAGAGATTTCAAATACAGTGAAATGCAGTTAAAAGTTATTTGCTCTTTTAAAGAACACACTGGCTAAAGGAAAGCGATAAAACACTGTAGAATGCATCCCCCTCCCCAATATACCATCTTTGTATAGTAAGTTTTGAGACATTAAGAAAGATGAATGGCCTTGTATGTTTTTTCAATGTCTTTAAAATCAAGTTAAGCTGAATTATTGTGTTTTTGTATGTATCTGCCCACATAAAAGAGCTCACAAAACATGTAACACACACAATGTCCATATAGGGTTGGATGAGAGTAGATGGAGTTTGTGTGTTTTGTATAAGCCATATCATACATGCGTTAATTGCATAAAAATAAATTACTCATTTATAGGTGGGAGTTAGTTTGTAAATACCCAAACTAACATTCATCTGCAAATGAGATTCATTTTATATGTGATATGAATATTTTTTAAAATATAATTAAAAAATGAATGCCATATATTTGAAATGTCATAATTTTCATATATATCATCTGATTGACATCTCCTGTAAAGGATTTAAAGACAGCTAGATAACTTTTCCCTTTTGATCTGTTTCTGTGACATCTAATAAAGACTGGAAGACATCTTGACCCCATTCATTTTTAAATTCCATTGAGGTATATTTGCAACTATTGAAATGAAGTTGCTTGGAAATTATATCTCAAGTTACTTCTCAGTCAGTCCTTTTATATGCCATGGTTGTTCCTAAGGTGGATAGAATACTGAAGAATTTATATTTTAGTAGTTTGTGTCTCCTGAAAATGTTTTTCTTAAGTTTCATGTTGCATGGTTCAAAATTGGGAAGGGTGTACACCAGAGATGTGTCCTGTCTCCATACCTTTTCAACCTGTGTGCAGAGCAGATTATCCAAGAGGCTGGGCTTTATGAGGAGAATTGTGGCATCAGGATTGGTGGAAGATCTATTAATAATCTGCGTTATGCAGATGACACAACCTTGCTTGCTGAAACTGAGGAGGAACTCATGCACTTGCTGCAGAGGGTCAAGGACTGCAGCCTTCAGTATGGACTGAGGCTCAATGTCAAGAAGACA